TCTGATCTGGTGCTCCGTTACCAGTGGAACGCCTTCTCTGGTCTTCTCTCTTGATGTGGAGAAGGTGTCCAACAGAGTTCAAACACCTTACCTGTTTCTGGTTCTAGAGCACCTGGGACTTCTTTTATCACTGCTGTCATGGCCTTGTATGCCAAAGCAAGAGCACAGACAATAGTGTCCGGATCTTGACAGAAGCCCTTCCCACTGAAAAACTGGAAAAGACAGGGTTGCAATTGACAAATTTAAATGGCAACGTAAATGCCACAGACATGCTAGTGATCTATTATATTGTGCCAAACGGAGGGGAGGGTTGGTTCTCCCACATTTGTATTTCTACTATATAGCAGCTCAACTAGCTCAAATAGCAACTTGGCACTCCCTCCCAGATTCATGCAGATGGGTAGATCTGGAATCATTAATTATGGGGATGGATATGTCTTAATTTTGGATCTGGATTCCCAAATCTGGTAGACCCCTCCTGAGAGTTAAGTGTCTGACCATTCGAATTTTTTTAACTTATGAGATCGATTTACTATAAGGTGTTCCCAGACCACTGCCCGGTTGAGGTCACAAGGGACATTCTCCTATATCCCCCATATCCTAGGAATATGGCCTTTCAACCAGGATTGAGGGCAATCCTGGTTATAAATATGGTTATAAAACAATATATGCATCTTTTTAAAAAACATAATATAGTTATACTATTTAATGAACTTAAACAATAATCTCTGTTGACAACAGGTGATTTGTTTAGGTATTTACAATTGAGAGATTTTGAATAGATGCAGTGGACACTCACTTTTTGGGAGCATATGTGTACCTTTGACACATCACAAAAAGGCCTTATTTCGACCCTATATGCATATATTTGTGATTTTTATGGGCAATGGGGTAGATTAAAATATATAGAACATTGGGAAGGCAGACCTTAATCACACACTGAAGGGTAATAATTGGGAAGGAATATGGGAAACAACCTCAAAGTCATCTATCTGTGTTACTCAACAAGAGCAAATCCAAATTGATTTTCACCATTTTGCACAATTGCACCACACCGGTGCAATTCTGCAAAATGGGGAAAATCAATTTGGACTTTTGTTGGCAAGGGTGTGAGTGGTCTGGAATATAAATGCATATGGGGTGGAAATGTCCCAAGGTCCAAAGATACTGGGTTATCAGAGATTTGTTGACATCAGTTTTTAACACACCTATTAAACTGGACCCACAGTCCCTTCTTTTAGATAAACCATTGGAGGGACTTATTTCTCACAAATTGAAGTTTAACAAAATAAACTTTGCAGCTAGAAGTGCGTTCACTCAAGTTTGGTTGAGTGTATACATTCTTGAGAATGATAAAATTCCTGAGAATAATAAAATTATAATAAAAAAAAAAGGATAACTACTTGGTGGACAAACTCACAATTCAGGTCCACAATACTACTGCAACCTTTTATAAGGTTTGGCAACCTTGGGAATTATAATGTGACAAAGTGTGTTTAATGTTGTTATATTTTGGAAATTATGGACGGGGATGACAGGTTAAGTCTGAATATATAATGCCATTCTAGCTGTTTCAATTGATTATATGAACAAGGAACTTTACTTTTTTTCTGTATATATCCCAGACTGTATACTCTCTTAAATAAAGAATAAAAAACAAAACAAAACTTTGAAAGTATAATCTCTTCCCTTTCTCTATTACAATTTTCACGTATATGTTTGTATTTTATTTCATATAAAGTATGTGGCGGGGCAGCCATCCGTTTGGGAATTGCTGTGTGATATGTTCCCCTGTATTGTGTGTATTGCTTTACTCTGCCTGCAGACCCGTTATGGAGAGCTCATACGAATATGTTCCATTTGTCTCCAGAAAGGGGATCCCCATTTAGAATGTTTATGTACAGGGAGTGCAGAATTATTAGTGTGTTTGAGGATTAATTTTATTATTGAACAACAACCATGTTCTCAATGAACCCAAAAAACTAATTAATATCAAAGCTGAATATTTTTGGAAGTAGTTTTTAGTTTGTTTTTAGTTATAGCTATGTTAGGGGATATCTGTGTGTGCAGGTGACTATTACTGTGCATAATTATTAGGCAACTTAACAAAAAACAAATATATACCCATTCCAATTATTTATTATTACCAGTGAAACCAATATAACATCTCAACATTCACAAATATACATTTCTGACATTCAAAAAACAAAACAAAAACAAATCAGTGACCAATATAGCCACCTTTCTTTGCAAGGACACTCAAAAGCCTGCCATCCATGGATTCTGTCAGTGTTTTGATCTGTTCACCATCAACATTGCGTGCAGCAGCAACCACAGCCTCCCAGACACTGTTCAGAGAGGTGTACTGTTTTCCCTCCTTGTAAATCTCACATTTGATGATGGACCACAGGTTCTCAATGGGTTCAGATCAGGTGAACAAGGAGGCTATGTCATTAGATTTTCTTCTTTTATACCCTTTCTTGCCAGCCACGCTGTGGAGTACTTGGACGCGTGTGATGGAGCATTGTCCTGCATGAAAATCATGTTTTTCTTGAAGGATGCAGACTTCTCCTGTACCACTGCTTGAAGAAGGGGTCTTCCAGGAACTGGCAGGGATCAGAGTTGAGCTTGACTCCATCCTCAACCCGAAAAGGCCCCACAAGCTCATCTTTACGATACTCAGCCCAAACCCAGTACCCACCTCCACCTTGCTGGGTGCCCGAGCCGGACTGAGCCTCTCGCCTTTACCAATCCAGCCACGTACCCATCCATCTGGCCCATCAAGACTCACTCCTCATTTCATCGCCCAAACCTAGAAAACGTCTTCCTATATTATTTCTCCCAGTTCCTATCAGTTTCAGCTTGTGTGTCTTGTTCAGTGGTGGTCGTCTTTCAGCCTTTCTTACCTTGCCATGTCTCTGAGTATTGCACACCTTGTGCTTGGCACTCCAGCATGTTGCAGCTCTGAATATGGCTAAACCAGGCAAGTGGCATCGCGGCAGCTGCACGCTTGACTTTCTCAGTTCATGGGCAGTTATTTTGCGCTTGGTTTTCCACACGCTTCTTGCGACCCTGCTGACTATTTTGAATGAAACGCTTGATTGTTCGATGATCACGCTTCAGAAGCTTTGCTGCATCCCTCTGCAGATATCTCACTATTTTTGACTTTTCTGAGCCTGTCAAGTCCTTCTTTTGACCCATTTTGCCAAAGGAAAGGAAGTTGCCTAATAATTATGCACACCTGATATAGGGTGTTGATGTCATTAGACCACACCCCTTCTCATTACAGAGATGCACATCACCTAATATGCTTAATTGGTAGTAGGCTTTCGAGCCTATACAGCTTGGAGTAAGACAACATGCATAAAGAGGATGATGTGGACAAAATACTAATTTGCCTAATAATTCTGCACTCCCTGTAGATCGTTCACACCTCACTAACGAGGTGTGAAAACTGCAAACTGCAAACCGCAGGAGAAGCCTCAGCATGTGCCAACCATGGATGGTGGCCCGTTCATTAGACAAATGTTGCCCAGAGAGAGCATTTGCGGATTGCATCTCGTCTCATTCAGTTCCCGAACAAGGACCTCCCAGTGCCCCTTGTAATGTTCACACCAATCAATTAGAACGTTGGCAACTTGCAACATAAGTGCAAAACCGCAATAACATTTCGCAAAAAGTGTGAAACCACAAGGGAAGTAATTAATGAGTGCTTCCCCTGGATGGCCACCGTTCGTATAGACAAACGCCGACCAGGAGGAGCATTCGTATCCTGAAAGGAGACACTTCCCTTGCCTGATTTCACACAGGAATGGAGGAGGGTCGCACTGGACACCATTGTGGAGGTCCCTGAGACTGGTGGGGACATTCCTTGGGGGGAATGCAGTTTGGTGGGCTTTCTGTAGCTAGTTTGCTTTCCCGCACTGGGACTCCCAGGTACAGAGGCTCATGGAATAAAAATCCCTGGTACCAGCAGGTGGGAAACCCTGAGGATGGATGGCGGGTACTGGGGACAAAGAATATAGAGTTCCTGTCACATGCACAGGCCCCTGGGAGGGGGAGGACACTTGGAGGAAACACTGATTGGTGGGAACAGGGGACAAAGGGACTGAGGTTACGGTTCTGTTATGTGACCCTCGGGAGGAGTAGGACCCTGGGAGGGGACATTGTCTTTTCATGTGTTCCAAACCTTGCATGGGGAAAGTATAAAAGTCGAGTGTGGCCACTAAAATGTGTTGAACCATGTGTCGTCCAGTTACTGGGGGAGAATGTGTCTTTTATTTCTCTAATAGCGGGTGATAACCAACCAAGGCCCGCTACAAAGTAATTTTATTTACTTGCTGTGTATGAGTATAAATAATAAAGAATATATTGTAAATTTGTACATAACAATTTTGTATGGTTATTATTCCACTAACATTGGGATTTATTTGACTGCAGAAACCCTGGTTATGTGTTAATAATAATTGTGCAGTGATACAAACGATCTATTTCTGGCTCTCCAACCTATTTTTGGTGTTCTAGTTACTTAAGGGTTAACCCCTTCAGGACGGAGTCAATAGTGCACGTTCTGATCAAAACAAAACGTAAACAAAAACTGGAATTTGCGCTATATGTCTGTTCAACCGTAATTCACTGCTGTCACATTAAGTGCACTCACACTTATTATATATCATTTTGTTCAGGAGAAACAGGGCTTTTATGTATCATTAACTATTCATATATGGAACATAATTTATTATGAATAAAATTTTAAAAAATGTGAGAAAATAAGATTTTTTTTTTACATTTGTATTTCCGTCTGACATTTTAGCTGTGAATGTCATAATACTGGTTTTACTGCAGAAAAAAATCACATATTTGTAATCAGCGATGTGTCATGAGTACAACAGTACCCCCCCATTAACAGGTTTTATGGTGTTTTGGAAAGTTTGCCAGATTGGTTATGTTGCCTTTGAGAGCGTATGGTAGCCCAGGAATGAGAATTACCCCCATAATGGCATACCATTTGAAAAAGTAGGCAACCCAAGATATTGCAAGTGGTATGTTTAGTCTTTTTTACTAGCCACTTAGTCACAAACACTGGCCACAGTTAGCTTTCATATTTGTTTTTGTGTGAAAAAAAGCAAAAAACTAATATTTGGCCAGTGTTTGTGACTACTAAGTGGCTACTAAGAAAGACTGGACATACCCCACTTGCAATACCTTGGGTTGTCTACTTTTGCAAATGGTATGCCATCATGGGGGTAATTCTCATTCCTGGGCTACCATATGCTCTCAAAGGCAACATAACCAATCTGGCAAATTTCAATGTCAAAAAAATGAAATGCAAGCCTTATATGTGACTCACTAACTTTCCAAAACACCATAAAACCTGTACATGGGGGGTACTGTTATTCTCGGGAGACTTTACTAAAGTGAATCCCCTATATACAGGTTTTTTGGTGTCTTAGAGAGTTACAGGGTCAAATATAGTGCTTGCGAATTAAATTCTCTGCACTTTCTCCATGTGTTGTCAGGCATGTCAATCAAAATTTAATTAATCAAATCACATAATTATTTTAATATATATGCATTTATAGGTATTTAAATTCTACGTGGATACTAATGTAATCTTTTATGTAATTATATGTATTTATCTATCTATATATATATATTGCATACCACTTGCAATATCTTGGGTTGCCTACTTTTTCAAATGGTATGCCATTATGGGGGTAATTCTCATTCCTGGGCTACCATACGCTCTCAAAGGCATATATATATATATTTGCTGTTATTTGTATTTTATATATATATATATTAATAAAAAATACAGTTAGAATTAAATTACATATGAATATATAATTTATATTACATTTTGTTTCTATATTTTATTTATTAATTTTATTATTTTATTTATTTATTATTGTAATTATACGTATATATATATAATATTTGTGTATATATCTATTAAATATATAATATATATTCATATATATATGTAACGTCATTCTAAGTGTATTTTAATACTAATATATGTACTTATATTAATATTAAAATACACTATGTATGACGTTACATATATATAATATGTATATATTTTATATATATATATATATATAATATATATATATACATATATTATATGTTTATAAATATATTTATTTTATAACATGTTTAATTTTTTTTTTTTACTTTCCCACCAGCAGGGGGACTGTCTGATATTTTCTGTGAGAGCGATCACATGGCCCCCGGTGGCCTCATTTGCCATGGGAGGGCTGCTTGGGCTGTCATGCAGTCCTTCTGAAACGGAGCGCCGGGAAGGTAAGTATCCCGGGCGCTCTGGGGGCTGCAGCCGTTACGGCGTTCTATGCCGCCGCAACGGCCCTAAAGCCCAATTAAAGCGGGACGGCATAGAACGACGTAACAGTGTTAAGGGGTTAAGCCCTATATGACATTTCAGAATGTTTGTAAACAAAAGGCACCAAGATACTTGGGGATGGCAGAAAGCGAGCTACTTCCACTGTATTGGCTCTACACTCCAAATGATTCTTGGGAAATTCTACCCAGAACGGCCTGTGAGTTATGCAAAGAAACAAGTTATTTTACTGGGAGGCAGTAGTAGAAGACAAGACTTTGACTAAAGATATTCATACGGATGTTCACCTCATCACCAGCTCGGCAGACACGTGTGCCCGGTGAAAGAGAAGGTACAAGTATGGAAGCAAAATGTATCACATCTTGATTGCTTTCTTTATCAACAAAGTATTGCCTTCAAAGTACTTAAAAGTACTTTGCCTTCAAAGTATTGCCACCCAGAAGAACATCTAGTATGTGTAGTTGCTCAGTAGTGGGGACTGGAGTACCATGGCAGAAGGACAACACGAGCAGCTGCAGCAGCAGGTTTTACATAGATCTTCCCAAAGTGGTGAGACACTTACTTAAATGGGCTTAGCAAAGGCAGTCAGGGCTTAGATTTTGGCACTGCTGCTGTGGATCACAAGTCCCATGACTCTCAGGCATATAGCAGGCTGGCTGAGCCTAATGGGAAGCGTAGTTCATGACAGCTCAAAAGTAAAATGTTTAGCTATCACTTTCTTAAAGTGCTGGAGTATGTGTTGTTTTTGTTCTGTGCATGTTGTCAGCCATGGTTTACAGAGATTGTGCTGTAAATAAGAATTAAATAAACATAGATCTGTTTTTTATGGTTGATGGTAGATAGGTTTAGTTTAATCAGTAGATGTGCACCTGTTTTACAATTCTTTTTATTTCAATATGAAAGTAATGTCCCGGGCGCCCCCTCACAATCCCCCTGCAAGGCAGTGTGAAAGCGTCATGACCACGAAGTCCTGAGCCTAATTCTAATGAGGCCTACAAAATGGCGGATGCCTCCCATGCCACAGCCCTATGAAGTGCAAAGAGGGAAACAGAGCTCTGCCTTGACAGAATCTTCAGCTCCTTCTGGGAGAAGCTTGGGGCCCGCATGCAACCTCTGGAACCAAAGACCCTGCCCAATTCCATGCCACAAAACCAAAAACAGATGGTCAAACGCCAGGACACAGCAATCCCCCCTGGCTTCACTACCATGAAAGGCTGGCAATGGAAGGGGGTCATCTGGGGAGCAGATGGCAACTTAGAAAGCAGCGGCAACTTAGAATCGACTTTCAAGGCCACAGGAGCGCCTAAGACAGAGTGCCCAGGACCACCTCACCCTCCAGCAGAAACTCAGAAAGGGACCCAGAGAGGCACAGCTCACCTGAGCCAAATAAGGAGAAGGCCCAAAATGGCGGCAACGTTGGGTCAGCCCTCCTGAACCCGCAGCAGCCCATGACCTGGATATGGGACACTTCAAGCATCGAGACCTACACAGGGGACTTTGCACACCCCACCAAGTGAACTTCCACTCCACACCGGGCCTATCAGCCCCTGTACTCTTGGACTACCAAGACTGATACATAACTCATTGCAAGGGGACGACACTGGGGACTCACGGGGCATCAGCTGATCCTTAAGCCATATATGAGCCTTGCAAAGTGCCAGCTGCTTCCAACCCATGGACTCAAAAAACACATTCATTATGGTTCATTATAGACCTCAGCGAATCTACTGTTATGTATAAGCTTACTTCATGCACCATCGCCCACTAGGTCTTAGAAGCAAGGCAAGCATCCTTGACCACTCAGGGGATCCCAGGGGTATTAGCTCACGTTAATTGATCATTGATCACACACTTACATAGGCATACTCAAATCATTTTATTTAATCCTACTGTCAGTTTGCAAGACTTTTTATCCTCCATGCTTAATGACCCAACAGGGGTAGTCTCCCGCCTTGGCCTGTTAGTTATCTGTCACCAAGACTAGCATGTCAGGGAGGAAGCAGTTATTTAGACTAAGCATGCCACTCTTCTGTTTTAATGTTTATGTTTTTCCTTTTGTGACATAGTCTCCCGCCTTGGCCTGTTAGTTATCTTTCACCAAGACTAGCATGTCAGGGAGGAAGCAGGTATTTACACTAAGCATGCCACTCTTCTGTTTTAATGTTTATGTTTTTCCTTTTGTGACATATGTTTAGACTTTCTTGCAAGAAAGCTAACTGTTATATGCTCATTCAACATAGACGTACCTGACTAGCATGTATTCATCTACATTTACCAAAAATGTGCATGCCATGACATTGTTATAACATGTATGTTATTATTTGGGTTTGTGCCGCTGTCATGGCGTACCAAACCTGCTTTGTTCAATATTTGCACAATAAAGATTAAATAAAGATTTAAAAAGATTTTAAATTTAACCTGTTTCAGCAGGTTTTGCACATGCCTACTTTTTTTAGGAAAGTATGTCAGGGGCCTCCCATTGTGTTGCAATGAAAAGCAACAGTTTTTTTGTTTTTGTTTTGTTTCCATAATCCCTGATTATTCTGTTTTTTACTCTAAGGATCCTCAGAGTATTAAAGGTGATAATGTGATAATGATAGTAAATATTTGTAATATGTCAAATAGTGACTACGTTTATGTGTTATATGTGGGCTTTAAAGTGGTGATATTATGTATTTATTGAACTTTGCTTACAAAGACTGATTAGTAATTTACCAAAAAGGATTATAATGAACTTTAAAGGGTATTTGAAATTCTGATTAGGATATATAAAGGGACAAGTAGGAGGTGCCAGCATGCAGTCTGAGGAAGCCTGATTGGAAGGGTTGAAATGCATCAGCATATCTGTCAACACCAAAATCATCACGCTGATATGCAAGCCTGGAACCCAGTACATGGTGAGCGGGACATCCTAAATGGCAGAGCGAAAACAAGATGATGTAGTGGGGTTTTATCTGCGGAGCTTAATACTAAAGTATGTTTTGTGGATTTAAAACAGTTCTATTCCATCAACGATATTATAAGCATGCCTGTATGTGTTTTTATTTGAGAATAATAAAGGGTGTTATACTATCAGCGCTTCTTGATTTTTCATGTGGAGTTTGATTTACTAACCTGGATTGAACATTTTGAAGATTTCACCCATACTGAGTCATTTTAATAAATGCTTTAAGATCAGTGTAATTAATTGATTTTTTTTTTAATTTTATTTTTACTTTTAAGGTGTACACATTATGTTTCTGTTTGCAGTCGGTGCGTATTGTACATTAATACACCTACTGCATTGCTGTGTTAAATGGCACAGTTTTATAACAGTGCATGTATGTTTGACATTGACAACATATTGTTTGGGGAAAAAAAATGTGATTTAGAATAATTGTATTTTTGCCCAATTAATTATTTTTTATGCACAATCCTACCTTACTAGCCATAGGAACTGATATTTGACATTTTGTGTCAGATGCACATACTGACACATGGCTTTCAATGCCTATTGCAAAATCATTTATAAATATAAGATCAAGATAAGTGAACCCAGAACCGATCCTAAAGGGCCTTCACTTGCCACTACTTACCACTTACTGTTCAACTTGAAAATGTCCTATTAATATAACTACTCCATGCACTCTATTTTTGTTAGCTAATGTGCAATCCAAAAGCAAACGTTTTCATCTAAACCAGTTGATTTTAAATGGTACAGTAATCTTTTGAGAAGAAACAACCCAAATGCCTTAGTTAAATATAATTGGTTCACATTTAGTGCAATGCATGATTTATCACTCTACTGTCTTCTTCATATAATGCAATTTAGTTAGTTTGACATAATTTTTTCTTTCCTAAAATGATGTTGATTATTACTAGTTGTGCACAATAC